CTCTCGTCTTCGCGCGCCCTTGTCCACTGCCACTCCTCTTTCCCAATCCAATCCCCCCCCCTGCCCTCCAGCCCTCCCGCCCGCCGCCCTCTGCCCCTCCGCCCCTCCCGAGCTCTCATCAGCAGGGCTGCCCGGGAGATCCGGGAAGCCCTCCCGAACGCCATTCCGCCAGGCCGCTGGAAGGCCCTAAGTAGGCCATCGGACTGGCTGATCGCCGGGGGCCCCAAGTAGGCCATCCATCCGCCTCATGGAACCCTTGTCCATTGAAGCGCCGGAAAGGCGTTCCGCGCCCTGGGGGAAGCTGTTCCGCGGGCCAGGCCGTCCCCCCCTCCCTCCCCCGCCCTCCCTCCCGTTCCCTCGTTCCCCCCCCCTCCGTGTCTCTCTCCCCCCTCCGTCCTCCGCCCTGCTCCGCCCCCCTCCCTCCTCGTCCGCATAATGTACCTCCTCCATGTGGCTTCGTGCAGCAAGTATCTGCGTCCCAAAAGAATCCTGACAAAAGACAGGACAGCGGGACAAAAATGGCGACGACGATGCCCGCACAAAATGGTGGCTACCGCCTCCTCGTCCTCCCCCATCAGCCTTCCCCACCTGCGTTAACACATCGCGGAGGCAAGTTCGTCGCGTCTAGAGCAACAGCAAAACAGAGAAGGGAGGACACAAAGCAAACAGAGGTCGGAAAACCATTGTGAAGGATAATCTGCAAACAACGTGGAAAGGTCGAGACAGCCCAAATGTCATCTATCTGACCAAAGCTGCCTTCCGCTAAAGTGGTCGAGGCGCGTGGTGCAAGTGGGCGGCTGCACGATGCGCAATCCCTACCGCGGTTTCTTGCGCCCCTTCGTGCCACCCACCCGATGCATGGCCCACCTGTCCGTGCACCCCCCTTGATGGCCCCATTCGCCCCCTCCAACCGTCCTGAACGGACTTCGGGCCGTCCCCGGGCCCAAATATAAGGGCCACTGGAGGTCGAGACCTTGGGTCTAACCGGCCGTCCCCAATTTCATTCGCGACGCCCAGAGCTCGACCCCTCCGAAGGATCGTCCTTGCCGAGTCTTCGAGCCGCGTGGTCACAAGGACGGCCCAAGTGCCCCAAGAAGGCATACAGACATTGTATGCTCGATCCCCAAGCCCCAGCCGTGGTGCTTTTCTGGCAGCGGGGACCCTCTGGAGGCCTCGTCGCCCTCGCCACGGCAGCCTGTCGACCCCGAGCGTCGACAGCCACTGCGGCCCAGAAGAAGGCCCCCAGAGACTGCAACCTACAAGACAAACTCCCGCCGGAGGGTTTTTTCACTGCGCGAGCAGTTGTGGATCCAAGCTTCCAAATCGACCTCAAGACGCATCTTGGGGTGCGTTCTGACCAGAACTTCGAGGCGCAAACAGCCGAAGCGACGACAACGATCCCGGGGCAGGCCAAGCAAAACCGAATCCTGGTACACTGAGGCGTGGCAGAATACGAAATGCTGACCAGGGCTTCTGAGAGCAAGGACCGATCATAACGCTGTTTAGCTCTGTTTGGGCCCTTGTTATGTTTTTCGTTTCATTTTTCGTTGTCATTTTAAACGCCCCGTTTCGTCGTTCGTTTGCGTTTGGCACTGGCTTCGTTTTGAATGTTCGCTTCAACCGTTGGGCCTCGTTTCGTTGTTCGTTGTAAACGCCATTTCGTTTGAAACATCGTTGTGGTCGACCCTTGCATTTTCGTGATATACGTGTCCTAAAGATCCCACTCGCTACAATGGTGCCCCCGTGCCGTTAGCTATTCCGCCAGCGCAGTCACTCTGCCTAGCCGCCGACGCAAACAGGTCCAAACGACCCCCGAGCCGTCGAGCGGCGCGGCGTCCGCCCATGAGTCTTCAGGCGTTGGCTTGCCATACCCGTCGCCGTCGCCGCCGCCGCCAATGCTCCCGAGGCTGAGGGCGACATGCCCGGGAACGACAGTCGCGCACACCAGCAGCGCCAGCAGCACTCAGCAGCAGAGCGCCGACGGACGCGGCAGCGACTAGGAGGAGGAGGCGCAGGAGGGGGAGGCGGAGGAGGAGGAGGAGGAGGAGGAGCAGGAGGAGGAGGAGGAGGAGGGGAGGAGGAAAAGGAGGAGGAGGCGGCGGAGGCGGAGGCGGAGGAGGAGGAGGAGGAGGAGGAGGAGGAGGAGGAGGAGGAGGAGGAGGAGGAGGAGGAGGAGGAGGGGAACGACGCCTGGCCACGACGTCCTGCACGCAGGGCCCGCCCCCCCCCGCCCCCGAGGCCTCTTGGGCGCTGGGGGCGGCCCGTCGCCTCTCCCACCGGCCCTTCCCTGCCTCTCGAGGCCACCGGCCTCGAGAGGCAGCCCAGGGGTAGAGGGCAGAAAACCCACCCCGAGAATAAGTTGCCGTCGCTCGGACGTCCATTTCCCGTGCATTTTTCGGTTTCGTGCGTGTTTTTCTTGCTCGGTGGTCCAGGATGGTCCTCGATGGTTCTCGCCGAGAAAAAATGCACACGTCCGAGCGATGCCAAGATAACCGCCCCGACACGCGAAACCGTTTAGTGAACGCACCCAAAGGAGGAATCAAAAAAGGCAGGGCTGTTTCGTAAACGCCCGGGGCCGTGTAGTAAATGCCAATTGTCCAGTCTGGGTGGTTTCTCCTCGATTGAAAGGGGAGGGCAGGACGAGGCTGAACTCGGGTGAGCACAAATCGAGAATCGCTGGGACCTGACGGCTCTGGAGGATGCATCGGGCGCCGCGGCCTTCACAGAGCGTTCTGGCACGCTCCGAGAGCGTTGCGGAGAGCTCTGGAACGCATTCACCCTCGTCCTAGCCCCGTCCGAGCAACCAAACAGCTCCCGAGAAGCACTGGATATATCCTGCCAGGTTCAGACCGCTCGTCAGGGAAGATTGCAGGAAAGTGCAAAGCAAAAAAAACATAAAAATAATCATGTTTTCAGCGAAGATGCTGATATTCAACGAAATATTAACCTTACATCGTACATATGACATATGATATATGTTATAGATTATGCATTAATTATGTATCATGATATAACACCTTGGCCTGACATCGCACATTGATGCATGCAAATAAGCAACATCGTCGTTGCTTCAGTTGCTCACCATCCTCCTCCTCCTGATCCTCTCTTCTCCTTATCCTCCTGCTCCCTCTTTTCTTCCACCCCCTACCCCTCCTGGCCCTCCTCAGTCCTCCTTCTAAGCGCGGCAGACGGCTCCTTTTAAACGTGGCGTGATGAAGGCGGTCGCGGGCCCACCCCCTCAATCTCTCTCCCTTCTCCACCGCCTCCTCCTCCTCCTCCTCCTCCTCATCCTCCTCTTCCTCACCCTCCTCCTGGCTGCCCTCCCCTTCCGTTCTGTCTTTCGCGCCGCCACGACCCGCTACGAGCTCGCGGACGCCCGAGCCAAGGCGCCGACCGCGCCGAGCACGGGCGCCACGGAACGTGCCGTCGGCGTCGTCGAATCGTCGTCCGTCGTCGAATCGGCGTCGCGAAATCGTCGTCGCCGAATTCGTCGTCGTCGTCGACTCCGGAGGCCCAGCCCTCATTTCTTCTCATGCTCTTTATTCTCCTTCGGCAGCGCTTTCCGCAAATCGGCTTTGAACCCCGCGTCGAACGTTTGCAAATACCTGGGGACACTCGCCCTCGGACCCCCTCCCAGGAAGGAGGAGAAGGGGCGGGAACACGAAAGAGAAAGAAGAGGGTGGAGAGAGGAGGAGAACGGAGGAGGAGAAGTGGGGCACTGTCCGAGGTTACCCCACAAACTCATCAGAAACGAGAGCTTGCGGATCCGCATGTACAGCCTCTAACGAAAGGGGCGACGGCGACGACGACGTCGGCGACAACGACGCCGAAGGCGACGGCGACGGCGCCGGCGAGGGCGAGGCCGAAAGCGAGTGCGAGGGCGAAGGCCAGGGCGAGGGCGATTGCGACGACGACGACGACAACGCAACCTGCGCCAGCGCAAATCCGAAGCGAACAACGCCTCCTCCTTGTTGTTCATCCCCGGTAGCGTGGCGCAACAAACAAGACGGGGGCCGCGGGTGACTTCGAGCCTGAATCGGGGCCTGTCAAGTCGAATTTCCGAATGGGTTGAGGGGAAACCTCGCCCTCCTCCTCGTCATCCTCCTCAGCCTCTCCTCCCCCTCCTGCTCCGCCTCCCCCTCCTCCTCCTCCTCCTGCTCCTCCTCCTCCTGCTCCTCCTCCTCCTCCTC